CCCCAAGTCATAAATTAGTAACTATGTTGGCAACACAAGCCTTTTCTACATAAAAAAATTGGAAGCATCAAGCAGACAATTTTACATTGTATTGCCAACATAATGTCATTTTGACTTTTATCTTTTAAAAAAAAAATACTTTGAAATAAGCCGCAAATCACAAAATTCCAAAACGTCATTCCTCCATCAGAGCAAGAACTGAGAGAACCTTTTTAGAACAATCCCAAAATTCGTCGTTAACAAGACGAAGAGGCGTATCTCAAAATTTCAAGTTTTAAGTAATTCCAATGTAAAGATTTTTATTATCTTTAATCTGGGTTTGTTTAACGTTGCAAATTGCTTAAAAAATACTGATAACATAAAATATTGCATCAATGCCAATATATAAAGTAGAGTCAAGTCTCATTATTTCTGGTTTTAGCAAAAGGGTTAAAATTGCCCTTAGAAGAGATACGCCCTTTCGCCTTATTTTGAAATAAGTTTTCTAAGACATATGAACTTAATTACGCCTTTTGTTGAAATACCTTTATTATATTGAGGAAGAAAGTACTTCGACATCAGCATTGATTCGAATAATTTTATAAGCAGCAACAAACACGAATAAGAAAAAATAGCGTTTATTTAAAATAAAAAAAACAAATGCCCTCAAGTTATAGTATTAAAAACTAAAAACTAAAAAAAAAAAGGTATCTACATAAGTTAGTAGTGTGAGATGAAAGCCAATAAACAATTATTCTTAGGGCCGGTTTATTCACCTTCCAATAAACTCTCAGGTATGCAATCTGACGGATAAAAACGCAATCTGTAATCCTATTGGTCGGCCAGTTATCCGCCGACCAATAGAATTATAAAACGGTAAATTTATCTAGGTGATACTTACCAGCAAGTTTGTCTGAAGATGAATAAACCGGGCCTTATTCTACTAAATTCGCAAAAAATGAAACAAACCAACCTGACATTAACTTTTAAGAGAATAATCACTCATTACATACTAATACAAAGTCCTTAGTGTGGCAACTGCTGGTAGAAAGAAACATGTTTTGGTTGTTTAATGATAGGAGTTGTTCCACTACACAGTGCCATAAGGTCATTGTATTTCTTTATTGATATTTTGGGTAAATCGAGATTGAGGCAAGCTGGGGCTGAAACTCTGTAACGAAAAGAGATATTTTCTCTATCTCTATCGACGTCCCCTCTGTATTGATTTCGGAAAGAGAGAAGAAGACAGCAAGTGCCATAGCGACAGGGATAACGATCTCTATCCGTTATAGAGTTCCAGCCCTGATGGTAGTTTTTTTGTAGATGACTATTTTTAAAATAAATCTTATCGTTGCTACTTTTCTGTACCATGACCTCACGTACTTGTTTCCAATCAATGGTACCTCCTTCATCATCCTTCCTAACTGCTAGTATTTTTAGATCATTGGAGAGATTTTTGAAATTTAAAAAGTCTGTTGAAGTCAAAGAATGCACAACATGTGGATTTTTTCTTCTTGAGAGTTTTATGACATGGTAAAAACGAGTCTCCAGATTTTTTAATAGAGCGATCTATTGTACCTTCTGTGTGCCGAATCGCCCTCACTCTGGACGAGGTATGGTTCAAAAAATCTTAAGTAGTTATATACCTTCGGTGTCAAGTTCTTTCAGGTATAAATTCAAGCATGTCGAAATCTCACATGAACCACGTTTACTCAGGCCTCCATTCCATGGTTGCAAAAACCAAAATTTTTGACAATAAATATTAAAATATAATTTTTTTTTTAGGAAAAAATAAACTTATACTTAACGATATACCTACGCACATGACCCGTATAGGGCGTAACTTATTCGTTCATATAGTGTAATACGGCGAACAGGCGTAATGGTCGTATTTTGTGATTACAAATTTGAGTTACGCCCGTCATCTATCTCGTAATAATGTAGCAATAAAGATACGCCACTTTCTCATATGAAAATATACTTATAAATAGCGACTATCATGGGCCTAACTCAAATCCGAGAATTTTTGAGATAAGCCCCTTCGTCATGTTAGCGACGAATTGTTCTTATATAAGGCGACTTTGGTTAATCCTCCGCGAGCTAAAAGATGACAATGTTGACAGAAGCTCACGTGATCTTTCATTTGATTTGAAGTTCAAGTCATCTTTTCGCTTGAGGAAGATCATAGGAGGATTAACCGAACTCTACTTCTACTATCAAAAAAAAAGAATTTCAGTGAAAATATAAGAGCTCTGCCGAAAAGAAGAATATATGCCTACAGTTCAAGTTCAAAATAAAAGTCAGCTGACTCATCGCTTGAACAGAGAAATAACGTGGGAACGGATAACGGATAGAACCATATATCGAATATGAGCTTCGCTAAATAATGGCATGTAATATTTACAGTTGAGTTGTAGAGGGCGCTTTTCTACATGGAGCTTTTTGAATAGGGCTAGTCACAATGGTGGCCTATTAATAAAATTGACGTGTCTCGTAATACCTGGTGTGCGCGCGCAACTCGTGGGTTGCAGGTGAGCGTCCAATGAGAATCGAGTTTGTTACGGGCTTCCGTCATATGCGTATTCAGGAAAGAGTTCAGAATTAATCGTTCCTTCTTTCATTGTAACGTGTTATTCGACAAAGAGCAAACTAATATTCTACGTATTACTTGAACTTACCGCTATGTCGTTTATGGTTATGTTAGATTAAACTTGACATATTCCTTTGCAATTTCATTGTGCGATGTTGCCGGATGAAACATTTATCAAAATGAAAGTGCAAACGATGTTTACATACACTTAAAGTTCTTCTTTTGTCTGATTTAAGGCGTTGTAAAACACTTGACAATATATCACTTCTTTAATGTTATAATGTCCGATTTGTATTATTGTCTACATTTGTTCTGCAATAATACATTTTGGCTACACTGCAGCCACGAGTTGCGCGCGCATGTAATTTTTTATCACTTTCTAACTTGTATTTATTACAATTAAGCTCTCTTTTTCTATTTATGCGGGACACCTCAATTGTTTAGACCAACCGGCACGTGTGTTGATCAGATAGTGTCAAAATCAAAATAAAACGTGAAGTCTGTTTTTTTTTTAAGAATATTCCCCAAGTCAAAAATTTTAGTAACTATGTTGGCAACACAAGCCTTTTCTACATAAAAAATTCGAAAGCATTGACAATTTTACATTGTATATTGCCAACATAATGTAATTTTGACTTATATCTTTAAAAAAAAAAAACAGGCTTTATGGATTTATTCAGGCTGTTCATTTGTACTGATTGTACTTGCTACCTGCTTTAAAAATCAGGAAGATCTGCTAGGAGCTACTATTTATGAGCTTATTATATGGGAGTTATGGGGCAAGTGAACAGTGAACGCCGATCAGCTGCTGAGATCAGCTTGAAGCAAAATAAGAAGTACAAATGAACAGTCTATTAGTGTTACTTTTAACGTAACTCGCGCATGCACAGCACAGAATAAAAATTAAATGACAATCCCTATTGTGGCGCGTGAATACCCGAGTGTAATTTTATCCTCAAAAGTTTAGTTTGACGTATGGTTTCTGCTTTCAAAGCCGAAACCGCACGTCAAATTGAACTTTTGAGGTTAAAATTACACTCTGTTTTTCATTCTCTTTTAACTTAAAAGCTCTTTTTAAAACTGGTCACTTTTAAAAATTTGTACTGCAATACAAATTTTCAAAAGCAAAGACAAGTGACCAGTTCTAAAAAGCGATTTAGAGTTAAAAGAGGATGGTGCATACGGCTATTAGCTAGGTAGTGAAAATTTTGACACTTTTATTTAACTTAGATTTACTTACCCACCCCCCTTAACTTTTTTATGCCACTTTGTATAAAAAAATGTAAATAGGAAAGGTGTAGTGCTTGAAAAATAGTTCTCAGGAAACATAGTTTTGTTCATACAGGGTGTTGCAGAAAGTTCAAAAAACAAAAAAAATATTTTTTCAAATGGGACACCCTGTATATTATGACATTTATGGATTCTGCGGCAAATTCTAGACATAATTCATGTATAATGTCATACCTATCTTCAACTGTTTCGGAAATGTTGACAGAAGAAAATTGACTTTTTTGCAACTTTGAGAGGCTGTAAAACCTAAACGGTTAATTTTTTAGCGAAAACAATTTCACATTCTCGTCTGCAGCTTTTCATAAGCTAGCATTTGACACCAACTTTGAATTTAACCGGAAATTAAATTTAATCGGAATTTCTAAAGTCTGTTTTTTTTTTTTAAAGATAATTTCCCAAGTCAAAAATTTAGTAACTATGTTGGCAACATAAGCCTTTTCTACATAAAAAATTTGAAAGCATTGACAATTTTACATTGTATTGCCAACATAATGTCAGTTAGACTTTTATCTTTAAAAAAAAAACAGATTTTAATCATGGATTAAATTCAAAGTTAGTGTCAAATGATATTTTATGAAAAACTGAGATAAGCATGTCGGTTTTGAGGTAAAATCAACTGTTCAGGTTTTACAGACTGTCAAAGTTGCAAAACAGCCAATTTTCTTCTGTCAATATTTCCAAAACGGTTGAAGATAGGTATATGACATTATACATAAAATATGTCTAGATTTTTCTGCAGAATCCAGAAATGTCATATTATATAGGGTGTCCCATTTGAAAAATTTTTTTTTTTGTTTTTTATACTTTCTGCAACACCCTGTATGAACAAAACTATGTTTTCTGAGAACCATTTTTCAAGCAAACTTTCCAAACCTCTATGGTCCTACTCTATGTACCTACCTTTCAGTATGGATTTTCCGTTGTCCAAAGAATTCCAGGAATTTCTAAGGAGTAGAAAAGTAGAAGAATCTAAGATTACTTACTTGCGGGAAGAAAAGGTTTGTTGTTGTTTATCACTTGTAATTTTATAGATCTTGTAGTTGGACATAGGTAGGTGTATACTTACCTCTCTACAGTCTCTACCAGACGTCTGGTTTTTAAATAAATATCCTGTATACTTACGTTTTTGTTTTTTTTACAGATCGATCCACAGGTTTTAATAGCGATGGAGGAGGAGGAATTACGCAAAATATTTCCTTCATACGGAGATAGGATTGCAATATTAGAGTTTTGTAACAGATATCAAAATACCAAAAGTCGTAAACAAACTCTTTTGGAACGTTTACGCCAAAAAATGTCAAGTAGAAAAAAAAGAAATGCCTCGAGTTCAAGCGAAGATGAAGAAAATGATCTTGATAAAAAAACGAAGATTCCAAAGAACACAAAAATGCAGGAGACGCGCTTTGTCGAAATTGGATGGTTTTTGTCAACAAAAGAAGATGAGGTACCGAAACAAGTGAGATCGAAGAACGGAGGAGGAACAAGAAAAGTCCGGTTAAAGAAAAATGCAACAAAATATGAAATAATTGAAGAGGAGAAAAAATTATTTTTCCGGATGGGAAATCAGCAAAAGGCTTAAGACTTACAAACTTTGAAACTGATTTGGTTGATTTTAGTGGAAATCCTATAAGCAGTGATTTAACTGTGGAAGATTTATTTGAAAAGGCAAAATTAAGTAGGCTTCGATTGTATATTTCAACAAAGCCCAAGGAAAGATGTTAGACGATCACAACAAATGCGAATTATCGATTCGATGAAGAAGACTTATGTGATAATGTACCATTGCCTGTAACAGATGTTATTCTGTATGCTACTAATTCTGATTCGATGGCTCTGTTTGATACAACTAAAAACTCACATAGCCCTCGCACTTGCAACAACGATGATTTTATTGCTTTCGAGACTGATACTTCATCCGTTTCTAATGTAGTATCTGGAGACATAAACATAAACACCGAGAACAGTCGAAACTACTCCGATGATTATTCAAATTTGGAATTCGTGGATTTGATATCTTTTGCGCCACGATCCCATGATGTTGTAACTGATGCAGATGCACTTTTAGCCGAACAATTACAATAAGAAGAGGATGAAAATTTTGAGCCGCCTTCTACAACTGTAACAGTTCATCGAGGTCACATATTCGAGGAAATTCTTGAAATTTTCGATTCAAAGTCAATAACGGGTGATGTTAAAGTCCAAATAGTGCTTTCCAATGGAGAATTGGAAGCAGCGGCTGACATTGGCGGAGTTTGGAAAGATGCCTTAAGCGAATTTTGGGCAACAATGTCAGAAAAATGTACTGGTGGGACGAATATTTTGGTGCCTCAATTGAGGCATGATTTTGGTTGTAAAAAGTGGCGAGCTATCGCGAGGGTGCTAAAAAAGGGGTGGTCCTCTGTAGGATATTTTCCTGTTAAATTATCGAAAATCTTTATGGAAAATTCCATATTCAAACGATCATACACCAGCGTTGAACAAGAATTTCTGCAATACATTAATGGGGAAGATAGATATGTATTGGAAGAAGCTTTGAAAAACTTTCAAACTGTAGAAAAAGATGAGCTGATTGATATATTAGCACGATTCGATTGTAAATCATTGGTAACAGAGGCCAATTTTAAGGTTATTCTTGACGAAATTGCCAATAAGGAAATTATACAGAAACCAGCATTTGTAGCCAACTGCTTCTATGAAGAGCTTAGAAATTTCATGTCCCTTGAGGAGTTAGCCACTGAGTACAAAACACGACAACCAACCGCAAGAAATACTTTAAAATTAATAAAGTTTGAAAATGCTTCCAACCCGAATCGTGAAAAAGTTTCTGAGCTCTTGCAAAAATTTATACGAGAGTCTGATGAAAGATTGCGAAAGTCATTTCTGAGATTTTGTACCGGTGCAGATAAACCATTGGGCGATGATATAAAGATATGTTTTATATCGACATCTGGTTTCCAGAGAACACCAATAGGTCATACTTGTAGTTACACTTTAGAGCTACCAGAAACCTACGAAAACTATTTAGAATTCAGATCTGAATTTAGTTCAGTACTAAATGCAAATATATGGGTGATGGATATAATTTAATATGTGTATCTGCAAGTTTCCTATGGGTGTAGCATAGGTACAGGGTTTTATATTGACACTCCACCTACAGCCTTTACCTTCACAGGTAGAAGAATGGTGTAAATACAAAAGTTGTACAGTTTTGGCTACATTTTTAGAATCCATGGTCAGAAACAAAAATTGAATGTCAGGAATGTGAAATGTTGCTTGCTTTCAGCTTTTTTCGAATGGGATGCCCTATATTTGGTTCTATATTCTTGGAGAGCACGATGTCCCGATTCCAAAAATATATAGTTTGTCTATATTTGGTTGAGAGTCTCTGTAAAAATACTCTCCTACTAACTGATTTCTTCCGCGATTGACAAGAAATGTCACCATTTTAGACCGGTTGACAGGTCGCAAAATTCAATAATATTCTGGTATTTCAATTATGTTTCAATAGTTGCTAAGGAATTAATGAGTAACAATATTGGAGTTGTGAACCATATTCTACTTGCACAGGTTAAAGCTGCAGGTAAAATTTGAGGTAAGTACTTGGTTTCTCTGATAGTATTTTTAAAATTTCTAGAACCAAATATGTTGGAGACGGCTCAACCAAATATAGATAAACTATATATTTTTGGAAACAGGAAATTGTGCTCTTCAAGAATATAGAAACAAATATAGGGAATCCCATCTGAAAAAAGCTGAAAGCATGCAATATTCTATATTTCTGACATTCAATTTTTGTTTCTTGAGAAATTGCCAAAAGTTTTCAACTAAGTCAATTTTAGGCATAGGGTGCGTCAAAAAAGTGCAGCAGTATAAAATTATATTTTTTTAAACGGAACACCCTGTATATTGTGCGCTTATTCGTTTGTCACCTTTACCTTGATTTCAAAGATATACGGTTTGATATGTTTATCTCTTGGTTTATCTCCAATAGGTAGTTATAGGGAAAAACGCGAAAATACCTTCCTAGGTCTCTCATCTTATTTTTTATTTTTTTTTAATAATAATAACAACTTAGACATCTGAATGTATTTTAATATTTCACCTAGTATATTAATGAATAAAATTTGAACAATAAATTGTTTATAAAAAAAAATTCTCTAAAGCTTAAATGGAATAATTTATCTTTTTTCGATATGTAACCTTGAAAGGGGTTGTCATGTTTTTCCCTATAACTAGACATATCGAACTGTATATTGTTGAAATCAGGTTAAAAAGGACCAATAAATAAGGGCACAAAATACAAGGTGTTCCATTCAAAAAAATATAATTTCACACTGATGCACTTTTTCGACGAATCCTGTATGCCTAAAATTGACTTAGTTATGGCCGTTTGCACCGACCATTTTAAGGCAGCATTAGCGATAAGTATTCCTCAAAATGACATTTCTACATGGATAAATGTAACTTTAAGGAATAGGTACCTATCGCTAAGACTTCCTCGAAATGATCGGTGCAAACGGCCATTGAAACTTTTTGACAATTTCTTGAAACTTTTGCATTTGACACTTTTTGTCAAAAATGTCAGAAGGGAGTGACATTTATAATAGATCACCCTATACAAAGACATTTTGTAAAGAAATCTACTTTCAGTTTACTTACCTATGAAGTTTTTTGTAATATTTTGTTTTTCTGTTTTTTTTTTGTAAAGGAATGCATATCCAGTTTACCTACTTTTAGGTAGAAATTTATAAAGTTTTTTGTGTTACATATTTTGTTTTCCTGTTTTTATGTAATAAAAAAATGTTCACTTATTAGTATGTATTATTGAATGATCTAGTATTATTATTTCTATAATAAACCTAATAATTTGCTACGTAAAAAAAAAAATACAAGTCGACGGCTTTATATGGATCATCAGTTGTACGTAACCCCTCTTCCTCACGAATAATTTCACAAAGCTCATAGATATCTTCATCACATGGAAATTGTTGATTGGCAAATATGCACTCTTCTTTGGATATTTCTAATTCCTCTTGAGAAATTGTTTGAAGAAAATTTCTTGCTTTGTAAAGTTCCGGTATGTTATACATAAGCAGTGGTCTACCACGAGGAAGAATGCTGTTTCGTGAAGCAGTTATCGAATGACAATTTCATTCCAGGACGATTTTCTTTAATTCATTCTGAAAACATATACGTGTGTGAAAAATTGTTATTTATGATATAAGTGCTAAAAGTGACATTTTATTTTGTGAAAAGGGAAGTTTAGGACACGACGCTGAAGGCGGAGTGTTCCATCCCTTTGAACAAAATAAAATCACTTTTAGCACGAATATCATACACTATTTTTTTTACAAACGCACTAAAAGTGATTACTTTTAGCACTTAATGCTAAAAGTAATCACTTTTAACACCAGTGTCATAAAATGGCATTTTAGACACTGACAGCATTCGTTAAAAATTACACTTTTAGTGACGTTTGTAGAAAAAAGACGTTATGCGTAGCTAAATATACCTATACCTACGTACCTGTATAATTCGCAGAAAACAATATTGAATCAAAGATTTGTCCAAATATGATCCATTGAAATACCCATCATCTTTAATTTTTCTAAATAAATTTATCCAAAACTCTGAATTGTGCTGCTTTAAAGTTGCCCACCAGCATTCAATTTTTTGGATAGCTGTGCTAGTGCCAAAAAAAAATGCTGGGATGTTGCGTTCATTGTCGTTTCTTCTAAAAAATATTTGCATTTGCTCTACGTGCCTGTTTTCCGTGCCCATATCTGCACGGACAATATACGGCCCTCCTTCACATTCTTCTATGGTAGTTATGAAGTAACCAGCAATTACCCTAGGATCGCTAGCAGTCTTTCCAGCTCTAAGCCACATAACGTGGCGTGAAAATCCATCTATACAGCCATTAACTGCTATTCCATATGGTTTCAACTTATCATACGAATCGCTGCGCTTATCAAAAAATTAACTAAAAAACGTTACGTCTGTGCTAGCCGAATCACAGAAACGTACACGGTTGCACAAAAAGCCAAAACTAGTGAGTCTCAAAAAGCACTGCTTAAAGTAAGGTTTGAGAATTTGGAAGAATCTTATTCTGATTTTCAAAAATATCATAATGAAATCATTGGTATAATTGATGATAAGGAATATGACCAGCAGGATGCTGTCAGAAAAGACGCAGATAGTTATTATTTCGGTTCAAAACAGGTTTACTTTGAATTATTTCCACCTAGTAGCACACCAGGTAGCTATGTTTTAGCGCCAAATGAATCAAACCAGGCAAGCTACACCGCGAAGTTACCAAAATTAACTATTCCGAATTTTGATGGCAATTTACAAAATTGGACAACATTTTATGACATGTATAGATCCATGGTACATGATTCTACATTGCCCAACATTTCCAAATTTCAATATCTAATTTCATTATTAAAGGGTGAGCCCCTTAGTTTAATAAAGTCCATTCCTACTACGGATGCCAATTATGCAATAGCTTTTAAAACTCTCACAGATCGTTATCAGAATAAACGGCATTTAGCTACAAACTACTGGAATGCAATTAATAATACTTCCACTCAAAAAACAAATTCTTCCAAAGACTTAAGAAACCTACTGGATACTTTTAATGAAAATGTGGCCGCGCTCGAGGTGTTGGGATTTCCAACCAACCAGTGGTGTTTTGTTCTTTTCAATATGCTGCTTACAAGGCTAGACTCAGCTACAAGAACGGCATTTGAAATAGAGCATAGCAAAATTGAGTTACCCACTTATCTACAGCTTACCAATTATCTCGAAAGTCATTGTAGGGCCCTCGAATCAGTCGAAATGAGTTCACCATGTCCAATAAATCTCAACAGGTCCCAAAAACCTCAAAACTCATATCACCAAAGTAACTTGAAGTCTGGTAGCTATTCTGGTACGCCTAGACACTCAGGAGCTCAAAGTCTAGTAGCCAACACTGAATCAAATGCTCACGACTCTCAAATACGACAAAATAACCCGCAATCAATCCCAAATATCGCTAATATGGCTGCTCAGTCCTCATCTCATGATACTGCTAGGTATAAATGTCGATTATGCCAGCAACCTTTTCATTCATTATCGCAATGCCCTAAATTTCTAGGTAAAACCCCGTCAGGGCGTCTAGCTTACGTTAAGCAAACCAACGCTTGCATCAATTGCTTAAGGTCTACTCATAGGCTAAAAGATTGTCCATCCACCTTTAGTTGTCGAATATGTCATGTCAAACACCATACTTTGCTTCATTTTCCCAAGAACACTGAGCAAACCAATCATCAAACGCCTTCCTCATCGGGTGCACCTGCCTCTATTGTCAGTCCATCGCAAATGGAAAGTCCCCATAGTGCACCACTACAGCAATCACTCAGTTGCGAGTGTGCAGCAATGGCTACCTCCATTCCTCAAACCACTGTCCTCCTTTCTACTACAAAGATTGAGGTGCTTGACTCGAGAGGCAATTATCAGATTATCAGAGCCGTTTTAGATTCAGCCAGTCAGGCCAACTTCATAACCCAAAAGTCTCTCAATCGCCTAGGTTTATCCAGGAAAGAATGTCAGTCGACTTCCGACACTTGTGGCCTTACAAGTTGCACCATTAAGCCTATCGGCAAAACTGACCCTGTCTTTTCGTTGGAGGCATTAGTTCTATCCAAACTTTGTTCAGACATGCCTTCTGTTAAAATCAACACTCAAAGTTGGGGCCATATATCAAACCTGACACTGGGCGACGAGCACTTTTCTATTCCTGCTCCTGTAGACATGTTGTTGGGAGCAGATATCTACTCCCAAATTCTAAAATCAGGTCGGATTCCTGGAAGTCAAGGGCAAGCATCAGCTTTTGAAACATGCTTTGGTTGGGTTCTACTAGGACAAACCTATATACAGCCTAGACCAATT